TGACCAAATATGGCCATGTCCATGCCTGGTCTATGACATCAGCTACACCTTTGATTACATTTAAGCTTTCAGTGGGGAATCTTTTATTCAGCAAGGTGCAGCAATGGGATCAGACTTGTCAGCAGGTCGGTGTGCCGTTTGTTTTATTAACTTTAGTATTGAAGAGAATTTCAATTGTTTCATAATGTGAGTGATCATGGATTTATATTGTGGGAGATTTTTTTTAAATAAAGGGCGTGTCTAATATGTACTATGCACCCCTTAATCATTCACATGTGGGACTTTAATATTCCAATAAGACCCCCCCACCCGACCTATAGACCCATGAACTAGGGTTGCAGTCAAGAGACCCATATCATAATCAAAAAGGGGACAGAAAAGTACCTAGAAAGGTACTCTCCCCATGTTGAGGGTATGTGGCGTGGTATAATTGAAGGCCTACCAAGCTGCATGCTCGGTTAGGAGTCTATTGTGGATTTTAGTGGGGGCACACTTTTTTTTCTTGTCTTTTGCATGTCATTGCCCCTTAAAGTCCATACCAGGCCCAAATGGTCTACTATAGAATTTATGAGGGACCCCTTTTTTTTGTGTGGGGTTCCCATTGACATGGCTAAACAAATGGTATGTATTTTATGGGAAACCCCTAAATTGTTTTCTCTGTATTTGTGGGAATTCCCCTATTAACATCTATGCCAGACTCACATCTAAGATAAGTGTCTGGTATGAAGGCAAGCCCTAGCTGATGCTTTACAAACAAAAGAAAATTTTCACATTAAGGATTATTAAATTGTTTCTTCCCACCAAAAAGAATTAAAAAAAAACTTTGAAATTGATTCCCCAAGGCAGTGCCCAGTCCTTCATGCTATTTGTTTGACAGCCCTTTGCCTAGTAACCTAGAAAATGGCCATTACTCATTTCTAAGATTTGTTTCCCACTGACTTCAGTAGTGTTTGGATTTGGCACCTGAACTTCTGTATAGTTCAGGAAATCTGTACTGATCAGATGCACCAAAAGAAGAATCAAAAAAGAAAACAGAATTTTATTTGAAAATAATGATGGTTTGAGATGCACAGTTCTACAGAAAACTAAATGTAATTCACTTATACTTTACATTTTCTTTAAATAGCTGGAAAAGTTGTCAAAGTAGGCCTCTTTTCTTTTTCAGGAGGTGCAATTTATTCAGCCAGACTGTAGAAATAGAAATTCAGCTTAAAAAATAAAAAGGTATTTTTCTAAAGTGCTGCTTATAGCACATTGAGTTAGGAATTCAGTTGTCAGCATCTGAAGCTGGAACAAGCTTCTTATTTTGTTTTAACAAATAAAAAAGCTTTTAGCGTGCAGAGGTACAGACAGATTGTCAGCAGCAAAGTATTATACAAAAAAAACTAACCAGTCTCTGTTTTCACTTAAAAGTGCAGTCTTTAGTACTCTAAATTTGAAAACAAGGAGCCAGCTTCTGAACCCAAAACATCATTATAATTTGCAAACAAATCAGTTTTAGTACAATGGGTGTGGAAATAATTTATCAGCTCCTGTGTATAAAAAGTACTTTGAAAAAAAAAAAGTACTTTGTCACAACAAACCTCTGTATTTTCTTATGTAAGCACAGGTTTTAGTGCATACATTTTTTAAAGAGATCCTGTAACCAACCAAATTGCAGGTAAAAGCATGGAAAATCAAGTATTTCAAATGCTTAGTTGCCATGTTTTTCCTTTACATAAATAGGTTTTTATTTACTATACTTGCACTGTGCCTTGTGAATACTCCAGAAAGAAAAAAACTCCTTAACAGAACCTCCCTCCTTGTGCTTCATAGCCTTCTCCTTTTTTGGAGTGTATAAAGCCTAGTACACACAATGAAAAATTTGTTTGAAAAATACTGTTTTCAAAGTGATAATTCGATCGAGTTAGGGTTACTGCAATTAGCTGTAAAAAGGCAGTCTCACTGAAAGCAATGGGAGGTTTCTGGCTCTCGCAGCTAAATAGGGGCCACTTGTAGGCAATTGGTCATTCAGCAATTACATGTGACTAATCAGCCCTCTATGCGGACTGCCAATTGGGTATATTGCATATAATAATAGGCAAAGATTCATTTGTGAATACTCCAGAAAGAAAAAAAACCCTTAACAGAACCTCCCTCCTTGTGCATCATAGCCCTCTCCTTTTCTGGAGTGTTTAAAGCCTAGTACACACAATGAGAAAATCGGATGAAAAATACTGCTTTCAAAGTGATCATTTGATAATCTGAAGATTTGTACACAGCATTCGACAACTGATCACGTCAGTTCATGCAAAATAATCCAAAGGGACAAGAACAAAAATGACCACGTATGCTCAGAAACAAAAGAATATATTACATTAATTTATTATATGAGATCCCTACAAATGCACCTTTCCTCGGATTAGATGCAAGAATCCCAGTTGGGGTTCATGTGATTAACTGTGAAAGTCTCATTGAAAGCAATGGGAGGTTGCTGGCTCTCACTGCTAATAAGGGACTTGCAGACAATTGTTCATTGAGCAATTACATGTAACTAATCAGCCCTCAATGCCAATTGGGGATATTGCATCCAATAAGAGGTAGGGTTAATCTGAAGGGGTCTCATATAGAAAATGAATGTAATGCATTCTTTTGTTTCTGGGCATGTGTGGTCATCTTCCTGGTCATTTGCAGAGATGAATGCACCCTAAACTATTCAATGTTGTGGCTCAGATTATCTGTACACCCCCCTCCCTACATAAAATTTTATGTAGATGCCTAGGCAGGAGCAAAGGGAAATATTATGAAGTATTATTTGAGTGGCAACTTGAAACTGGTGGGGCTGCTGAAATCACATCCAAGATATCTGCACCCAGCAGTATTAGAGCTTTGGATGTCTGCACAAAAGAGGCTTTTAAGCTGCATAATATACATAAAATACATAAAATGTATATAAAATCTTATGAGAAGATGGCTGTTAAAATAAACAGTGTGGTGAAGGGGTCTTTTTAAATATATTATTAGCGGTTAGGACTCTATGTATATAAATAATCAGCTACTGAACTAACTACTGTAATATATTTTCTCAAACCAGGCCACTTTCAGGTACAATATATAACACTCCTGATGACAGGCTGCTGTAGGGGACAGGCAGACCACCGATGTGACAAGAAATTCATATTTACTTTATTTCTGATTAACAACAAATCTTGGTGCAAGTGAAGAGAAGCTGCTGATTGTGGCACTAGTTCTAACTCACCTAAATCAGTTTGTTTTATAACTAGTTCAGAATGATTTACCAATCTTCAAATGTGTGCAAAACCTGCTGCATATGCAGGAACCTTTGGCTATATATTATAAAATATTTCCATCCTGGAAAATATTGACACAATCAACAAAATGAAAAAACTCTGTATTCAACGGAATCTGGGAATAATACATCTAAATTTAGACCAATAAATAAAACATCCATAGGACGCTCCTGCTGAGATCAGACCTCTGTGGCTCTTAGATATCCAGAAAGATGCGAGAGGGGAGGTATGCTAGAGCTGGAGCCAAGTGAGCACTAGAGCAGCACTTCAGTGAGTGAAAGCAAACTCTGATAACGGAAAAAACACAGAAAAAAGGTGCTTCTAAGTGCAGAAATTATGGCGATTTATTTCGGACATAAGATTATAAGTAGAGATGAGCGAATTATTCAAAAATTCGGTTCGGCTGATGCGCCGAATTCGCCAAATAAATTCGCTTCGAGCCGAATATATTCGCTGCGAATTTAACTTATAAAAAGGGTGTTTCTAGGCTTCAGAGAGCCTTTATATTAGTGCAGAACACTGTACCTTTAATTTAAATGCCCTTGGAGTCTGCTGGGGAAGAGAAATAATACTGTCAGTCAGTATGACATGCAGATGAGTGCCATCGATCTTAGAATCACCGCACACTTCACTCATTTGGGCAGTCATGGGGCCAAAACCAGAGTGTGGAGCCACAGTGTGGCGGTGGAGGCAGCAGCAATGGGAGGCCATACAGCACTCTATGACAAAATGGAACCCACCAGCAGTGTGAGGAGACCTGAAAGTGGCACATGGCAGAGTGTGGCGATGGAGACAGCAGCAATGGGAGGCCGTACAGGGACCCATGACACACTCTGGACCTGGCAGCAGCAGGAGGAGGCGGTACAGGGGCCATGACAGATTACGGGGCCTGGCAGCAGCATGAGGAGTCGGTACGGGGGCCCATGGCAGATTACGGGCCTGGCAGCAGCATGAGGAGGCGGTACAGGGGCCCATGGCAGAGTGGCGGAGCGTAAGCAGCTAAAATTGAAGGCCATACAGAGGCCTATGTTAAAAAGTCCCCCCAGTAGCAGCGTGGGGAGACGACTATCAAGAGTCCAATGGCAGAGTGGCGGAGCAGAAGCAGCTTCAATTGAAGGCCATACACAGGCCTAGGTTAAAAGTCCCTCACAGTTAATTCCAATAACGAACTCTACTCCTCCATGCAATCTACTTACGAAACCCTGGGCAGGTCTGGGTCCAATTTGTGGTAGAGACTGGTTTTTGTTCAGCCATGCTTGAGCGAGTAATAACAGGTCTGTGCTGCCCTTTGGTGTCTGGCTTAATGCGCACAACACTGAACGCCCCAGCGTTTGTCAACGATTTGCCGTTAAGTGATGCAACCCGCTGAACCACGTTTCATAAGGAGCCGGTACAGGGGGCCATGAATCAGTATGGACCTGGCAGCAGCGTGAGCAGACGACAGAGGCACATGGCGCAGGTTGGCGGTGTAGGCAGCATTATTCTGAAGCCATACACAGGCCTAGGTTAAAAAGCGGAAGCCGTCAGCAGCGTGAGCAGACGACAGAGACACATGGCGCAGGGTGGCGGTGGATGCAGCAGTATTCGGAAGCCAAACACAGGCCTAGGTTAAAAAGCGGAAGCCATCAGCAGCGTGAGCAGACGACAGAGGCACATGGCGCAGGGTGGCGGTGGAGGCAGCAGCAATGGAAGGCCATACAGCACCCTATCACAAAATGGAACCCACCAACAGTGTAAGGAGACCTGAAAGTGGCACATGGCAGAGTCAGGGGGCGATGAAGTCAGCAGCAATGGGAGGCCGTACAGGGACCCATGACACACTCTGGACCTGGCAGCAGCAAGAGGAGGCGGTACAGGGGCCCATGGCAGAGTGGCGAAGCGTAAGCAGCTTAAATTGAAGGCCATACAGAGGCCTACAGTTGTGACCAAAATTATTCAACCCCCAATGCTGTAAAGGGGTTTTAGGGACTATAGTGTACATTTGGAATTGTATTCAGAATCAAATCCTACACAAGGACGTTGTAACTACCCAAATGCAACTAAAATGACATCAATTGTTTATGTAATACAGTAGTAAATGGTTCTTATGTGGTTTCTTCATTGCCACAATTATTCAACCCCTTAAAGACTACCACTCTGAAGAACAGAGGTTCATACAGGTGCTTTCCATCAGGTATTGAAAACACCTGTGGATGTCACCGAGCAGCAATCAAGCATAATAAGCACCAATTAGGCAGCTTTAAAATGACTGTGATACTCAGCTCCTCTAGACATTTACTGGTGTGGTTACAAACATGGTGAAGGCAAGAGAATGGTCCAGGAAGACAAGAGAAGAGGTGATTTCTCTTCACAGGAAGGGCAATGGCTATAAGAAGATTGCAAAGATGTTAAACATACCAAGAGACACCTTAGGAAGCATCATTCGCAAATTCAAGGCAAAGGGCACTGTTGAAACGCTACCTGGTCGTGGCAGAAAGAAGATGCTGACTTCGACTGCTGTGCGCTACCTGAAGCGTAGAGTGGAGAGAAGTCCCCGTGTGACTGCTGAGGAACTGAGAAAAGATTTGTCAGATGTGGGTACAGAAGTTTCAGCCCAGACAATAAGACGCACACTGCGTAATGAAGGCCTCCGTGCCAGAACTCCCAGGCGTACCCCCTTGCTGTCTCCAAAGAATAAGAAGAGTCGACTGCAGTATGCCAAAAGCCATGTGGACAAACCACAAAAGTTGTGGGATAGTGTTCTGTGGACTGATGAAACAAAATTAGAACTGTTTGGGCCCATGGATCAACGCTATGTTTGGAGGAGGAAGAACAAGGCCTATGATGAAAAGAACACCTTGCCTACTGTGAAGCATGGTGGAGGGTCAATCATGCTTTGGGGCTGTTTTGCTTCTGCAGGTACAGGGAAGCTTCAGCGTGTGCAAGGTACCATGAATTCTCTTCAGTACCAGGAGATATTGGATGGAAACGTGATGCAGTCCGTCACACACCTGAGGCTTGGGAGACGTTGGACCTTTCAACAGGACAATGATCCCAAGCATACCTCCAAGTCCACTAGAGCATGGTTGCAGAGGAAAGGCTGGAACATTTTGGAGTGGCCATCGCAGTCACCAGACTTAAATCCGATTGAGAACCTCTGGTGGGACTTAAAGAAAGCAGTTGCAGTGCGCAAGCCTAAGAATGTGACTGAACTGGAGGCCTTTGCCCATGAAGAATGGGCGAAGATACCCGTAGATCGCTGCAAGACACTTGTGTCAAGCTATGCTTCACGTTTTAAAAGCTGTTATAACTGTAAAAGGATGCTGTACTAAGTACTAAGATTGAATGTCACTTGGGGGTTGAATAAAACTGATAATGCTGTGAGCACAGAAAAGACATTTGTGGTTATTTCATTATAACTGTTATGTTATATTTGTCTGACCTACAAGTGCCTCTTTAATGTAAATGTAAGCAAGATGACTGAATGATCAAAAGCAATGTCAAACATACACAGGCCTAGGTTAAAAAGTCCCCCCAGCAGCAGCGTGGGGAGACGACTATCAAGAGTCCAATGGCAGAGTGGCGGAGCGGAAGCAGCTTCAATTGAAGGCCATACACAGGCCTAGGTTAAAAAGTCCCCCCAGCAGCAGTGGGGGAGACGACTATCAAGAGTCCAATGGCTGAGTGGCGATCCGGGAAGTCAGCGTTGTGATTGCAGATGCAATGCAGAAATTCTACGAAGTAATGCCGTGGGTGCGAAGAAGATCATATACCGTCGTACTTCCATCCATAAGACGGAACAACCTGCGAACCGGGAGCTTTATTGCCCTGACCCGCTGAGCAGCTTCTGGGATACCCAAGAGGCCCATGGCAGAGTGGCGGAGCGTAAGCAGCTTCAATTAAAGGCCATACAGAGGCCTATGTTAAAAAGTCCCCCCAGCAGCAGCGTGGGGAGACGACTATCAAGAGTCCAATGGCAGAGTGGCGGAGCGGAAGCAGCTTCAATTGAAGGCCATACACAGGCCTAGGTTAAAAAGTCCCCCCAGCAGCAGTGTGGGGAGATGACTATCAAGAGTCCAATGGCTGAGTGGCGATCCGGGAAGTCAGCGTTGTGATTGCAGATGCAATGCAGAGATTCTATGAGGTGATGCCGTGGGTGCGAAGAAGATCAATGGCTGACATCTAAGTTACACAGGGGAGTACCTTTATCCGCTTGTAACATCAGGAAATCGGTGATGGCCTTTCGCTGTTCGTAAAGGCGGTCTAACATATGTAGGGTTGAATTCCACCTTGTTGCAACGTCGCAGATCAGGCGATGCTGTGGAATTCCGTTCTGCCGCTGCAGCTCAAGGAGGGTGTGCTTTGCGGTGTAGGAATGGCTGAAATACATGCAAAGTTTACGTGACATTTTAAGGATGTCTTGCAGTGGGATGGTGGATTTTAGGAACCGCTTGACAACCAGATTGAACACGTGAGCCATGCATGGCGCATGGCACAACCTTCCTTGACGCAGAGCAGACACCATGTTCTTTCCGTTGTCGGTCAACATGATTCCGATTTTCAGTTTGCGCGGAGACAGCCATCTGTCGATTTCTCTGTTCATTACACTCAGAAGTTCCTCCCCTGTGTGACTACGTTCGCCAAGGCATACCAGGTGCAGCACAGTGTGACACCGTTGCGCCCTGCACATGTGATATGCCGGTCTGGTAATGGGACTTGGCACGGGGGTGGCGGCTGAGGACACGGCGGAAGAAGAGGTGGTAGAGGTGGACATCTTTGCTGGACCAAGGACGTGCAAACGTGGAGGCAAAAGCGGCGTGACCTGTCCAAGTTGCTGGTGCGGCTGTGCCGGCACCACGTTCACCCAGTGGGCCGTAAATGACATGTACTGTCCCTGACCGTAGTTACAGCTCCACACGTCGGCGCTGCCGTGCACTTTGGCAGAGACCGACATGCTCAAAGACTGGCCAACCATCTCTTCTACATGTGAATGCAGGGCTGGCACTGCCTTTTTGGCGAAGAAATGCCGGCTTGGCACTCTCCACCGCGGCTCGGCACAAGCCATCATTTCTCGGAAAGGTGCTGAGTCCACCACTTGGAAAGGGAGGGACTGCAGCACCAGCAACTTGGACAGGAGGACGTTCAGCTTCTGCACCGTCGGGTGCGTGCTCGCAAACTGTTGTCTCTTGGAAACGGATTCCAAGAAAGACTGCTGACGGAATCCGTGAAGAGGAGTAGCAGGAGAAGGAGCATCTGAATGAGTGGAAGATGCCAACGAGCGACAACTCCCCTCAGCAGAGGTGTTGGAGCCTTGACTGGCTGATAGAGGGCGATTGACGTCGGGTGACGGAGCAAGTAACGGAGCGGGTGATGGAGCGGGGGCTGGGGCAGGCAGAACCGCCGTATCTTTATCACGGTTTTCCCAGGCCACCAAATGGCGACGCTGCATATGCTGACGCAACGCTTTAGTCCCAACATTGGCCCCCTGGCCACGCTTGACTTTCTGGCCACATAGTCGACATACGGCTACGTTTACTTTCTCGGGCAGCTTGACGAAAAAATTGCCACACCGCCGAGTAGGAAACTTTGCCCCCGCTACTCCTCACTGGCTGACTGCTACTTCCTCCGTGCACACCGGCACCACTACTGGCCGTGGTGGTAGGCTGCAGTGGAGCTGGTGCTCTACTCCGTGGCCGTTTGGCTCCACTGACACTGCTGCGACCCTGCTGCCTCCTGGGCAACCCACCGACTGTTTTGCTCGCTGGCAAGCTGGCACCCTCTTCTCCTGATGATGCGGAAGCAATAGCCTGATGACGACGAGGCTGCCAAGTGCGATCAGCCTCATAATCATCAATTAGGGTCTCCGCGTCACTACTAGCCCCCTCGGCTGCGTGTGGGTCAGGAGACAGACCTGTCTCTAGACCGGCTACCGAGCCACTCTCCTCGCCAGTACTTCTTCACCTGGCTGCTGAAGAGGCGGATGTCTCCCCCCGTTCCTGACCGCCCTCTGTTAGCTCTTCCTCACTGTACAGTGGGGCTGAGCCCACAGCATGCGATACTTCGCTTGGTGAGGGAACACCAAAGGACAGGGGCAGGTCGAGGACACGTGATTTCAGTGGGCTTGCTCCCGGGCCATGCCAACTAACGGTTGTGTCTGACGTACCCACCGACCGTTGGCTGTAGGTGTCAGAGGTGACCTGGGAAGAGGAAGACGACCGAGTCAACCAATCGATGACGGCAGGGTTGTCGGTGGAGACACGACCGCTGGATGACACCGGGAGCACTGGCCTCTGGCTGCGACTAGTGCTGCCTCGACCCCTTCCTCTGCTGCCACGTCTGCTCGCTCCTGAAACATTGCCTCCTCTGCCACTCCTCTGCGTGTTGTCTGACATACTCTTTAATTCAATAAGCACCCCAAAAATAAAACCGGATTTAACTCTTTGAACGTACAATAGTGGTTGTGAAGCAGAAAGTCAGTTTATTGTACACAATCGGTCAATTGCAGCTTGCCGTTGGCTGTAAACTGTACGTTTATGTCACTGGAATGCACTAATCACCCAAAAAATATTATTACCGCCCCGGCGTGTAAATGGATTTAACTCTTTGAACGTACAATAGTGGTTGTGAAGCAGAAAGTCAGTTTATTTAGCACAATCGGTCAATTGCAGCTTGCCGTTGGCTGGAAACTGTACGTTTGTCACTGGAATGCACTAATCACCCAAAAAATATTACCGCCACCCGGCGTGTAAATGGATTTAACTCTTTGAACGTACAATAGTGGTTGTGAAGCAGAAAGTCAGTTTATTTAGCACACAATCGGTCAATTGCAGCTTGCCGTTGGCTGGAAACTGTACGTTTATGTCACTGGAATGCACTAATCACCCAAAAAATATTACCGCCACCCGGCGTGTAAATGGATCTAACTCTTTGAACGTACAATAGTGGTTGTGAAGCAGAAAGTCATTTTATTGTACACAATCGGTCAATTGCAGCTTGCCGTTGGCTGGAAACTGTACGTTTCTGTCACTGGAATGCACTAATCACCCAAAAAATATTACCGCCAGCCGGCGTGTAAATGGATTTAACTCTTTGAACGTACAATAGTGGTTGTGAAGCAGAAAGTCAGTTTATTTAGCACAATCGGTCAATTGCAGCTTGCCGTTGGCTGGAAACTGTACGTTTATGTCACTGGAATGCACTAATCACCCAAAAAATATTACCGCCACCCGGCGTGTAAATGGATCTAACTCTTTGAACGTACAATAGTGGTTGTGAAGCAGAAAGTCAGTTTATTGTACACAATCGGTCAATTGCAGCTTGCCGTTGGCTGGAAACTGTACGTTTGTGTCACTGGAATGCACTAATCACCCAAAAAATATTACCGCCAGCCGGCGTGTAAATGGATTTAACTCTTTGAACGTACAATAGTGGTTGTGAAGCAGAAAGTCAGTTTATTTTGCACAATCGGCAAACTGCAGCACCAACTGTGCACGACAGCCACCAAAAAAAAAAAGGGTGTATGTCACTTTAAATTTTCGATTCTTTGATAGCTGTGGCCCTAAGTAACGATTCTGTGTCCCTGAGTAACGATTCTGTGTCCCTGAATAACGATTCTGTGTCCCTGAGTAACGATTCTGTGTCCCTGAGTAACGATTCTGTGTCCATGAGTAACGATTCTGTGGCCCTAAAGTCTCTGTGGCCCTAACTCTGTCCCTTAATACACACAGGTCTGTCTCTCTTGAATGACCGGAGGCTAATGGAGAATTCTAAGATGGCCGCGATTTATAGCTCCACCATTACACAGTGCTGGCTGGCTGATGATTGGCTAATGCGATCACATGTCATGAATGCATTATAGGTCAGCGCGCCTTCCCAGAGATCCCCCCCCCCATCTTCTCTGTCCATTTTCTCCGTCGCCACACATGTCGCCGCCATTTTTGGGAAAATTTGATTCGTGCATCCGAAGTTTGCTAATCTTCGGATTCGTCGCGAATAGAATTTTTCCAAATCTTCGGAACGAATTCCACTTCGTCATGTTCGATTCGCTCATCTCTAATTATAAGCACTTACAGGATGATAAAATGTACAGGCTCATTATATATGTCCAGCTCCTACTGGATGTGTGGCAGGGACTGTTTGGCTGTCCAGCGGCTGCGGGACCTGTGGAACCAATATGACCGCCGCACTTCCAGGATCGGAGTGGCGCACATACGCCGGGAGTGATGTCAGGTGAGGGTGGTAACCTGTTTCAGGGCATGCGCAGAAGCTCCTTCATCAGATCTAAGCCCCGAGAGCCAGGAGCGGTTTTATATTACGGAGAAGGGCATGGGTATGTGAGGAAACAGGGCGGACCATGGAGTGTGGATAACTACATGTCCTAAAGCACTAGAATATTACAACAGTACGACTATGCCTGACACAACAAAATGTTTAAAAATCATTGGGAACATAACTCTTAAAAGTCATAAGTAACATAAACTCAAATGATAATTCCAATTATATTAGCCGCTATATATAACAATAATAAACAATGTACAAAAAACAAATCTTATAAAAATACATGAAAGCAAATATATAAGAGGATCTTAATATTAAAATAATCTGGATCTCGGACCTCTATTGGTATAAAATATATGTGGTCATTGCACATACAGCAATACAGATGCCCCTGGTACCTTTTTCATAGGCTTTTTTGAGTTTGGGCAAGGTCATAGGGGCCCCATGATCCCCTATTGCCCGGGGGCCCCATGAGTTGTCAGTCTGACCCTGCTGAGGACCCTGTGTCCTATATTTTGGCACTGAAGACCTTTAGAATACAGTACACAATCTTACAAAACAAATTTTCAGTTCCCAACATTCATACTTCCCTGAACTATATCTGCTACATGCTGACAAAGAGCAACCCTCTTTACTGGCCAAACATTTGCTTTAACCTCATTAATGCAGCAGACAGCATTATACCTTGATTATTCCTTCAGAGAAGGACTGAATTGATCAGGTGGATTACTTTGTTGTGATGGAATCTATGATACGCTACAAACTCGATGGCTGAAACT